GAGAGCCCTTATGTGTTAGTGAAATTTAAACATTTCAGTGATTGATAATCATCATAATCTATCCTCAAAATTCATGAACAAGCACTTCTCTAAAAGTTGCAAGTGTATATTGTTCCTTTTTCAACTTGAGACTATCCTTCCTTTATATGTCCTCAGCAGTGTGCATTTTATGCTTGAAAACATTTTATTGATCACCTATCATAGTTATGTGTAACAAAAATATATAGAGATTGAATTTCAAATTTTGTTTATGTCCTTTGGCTATAAAACTGTAAGTAATAATATTTGCTTTTAAAATGAGTTCCCACCACAAGTATAAAATTGACAAAACAATAGAGATATGCTTCACATTTTAAGTAATAATTAACCACAAAAAGTTAACTTGAATTGTAAATACAGAGCTTAATCTCATGGGTAAGCCTGGTTTTTCATTCCACAAATTAAGAAATCATTTACTTCTATAATGAGATAACATTTAGGATCAATTCTTTTCTACTTTTGCTTTTAAAGCAACCTTGTTAACAGAAGCACAAAAAATGGTAATAAAAATCTCCTATTACAATGCCACTACATTCTTTGAATGTCTTCCAAGATATATGGCAAAAACTGAACAGTAATATAGCCTCAAAAATTATTTTGATAATCTCACAACTGACAGTTCAATTAGTTGTTCTTTCAATTTCTTTTAAAGGAATGAATTGGAAAATGTCTGACTTGCAGAGGGTTTCTAACCCAATGTTACTTTCCGTCAGCTTCACACTATCTGGACAAAGTGTACTGATAACATCATACCAGGGCCCTTCCAATGATTACAAATGGCATATTGTTCTTTCACTAGAAACATCTGGTTTAAGTCACTGTACTCACAAATACTGTTTTAAATGTTAAATCATACTGCCTTCTATGAAAAGCATCTCTTTGAGCTCTGGCTCACAGGCCGAGGACTCATGGTGTTGCTATGAATTTGCCCCTGCTGAAAGAATGAGACTTTTCTGCTTGATTATTGTGGGCACTTTTTTCAGGACAAGGTGCTATTGGAAAGTGCTATGTGATGATGATAATAGAAAAAATACTGTCTCCTGGATGATTGTGACAGGGTCATAGTCCTAAGAGAAAGAGTCCAGTTGTAGGTACTCTTTCAAGAGAGTAGATGTAGGGAGTTAGACAGCTTAAAATCAACTTCCTCAAAAACTATTATTGTCTTCATAGGGGACCAGCAAATTACCATTACTATAGCACAGAAGTGTGATTTAATATTTGTCAATCGAAACCCATGTTTTCAGGTAAGCACACAACCCAAGTATCCTTCAGAAGAGTCAGGTGGTCCTTGGATGCATAGATCCCAGTGAGAGCAGCCATGCTTGCTTTACCTGCTCCTCAGCTGGGTTTCTTCAGTGGACATGAAGCACAAATAGAAAAGAATATCTGAGGAAAACCAGAGAAAGCAGTTCTTAGAACCTACAGCAACATAGAAACTCAGTGGACTGGTAGACTTGGCAGAGGAGAACAGCCTTCTGCATGATGGCTCTTGGCTCCTGGCTTCTGGCTTCCCCCTAGCGCCATATGACTCTCCTCTGCTTGGTCCCCTGAATAGCGGGGCAAAGAACTCAGAAGGATTGAAGCAATAGGCTTAAAGGATCTTCTAAACCTCTGCCCCTTCCCTGCTATTTGTTGTTATGAGCTGGATCCTCTTTATCAGGAAGCACAGAGAGGGCCATGCTTGTTTGATGTTAAATAAGAGAGAACTACCAGTCAAGGCGAGGAAGGTTAATAACTTTCTGGTGTCTTGATAACTCATAGATGTGTAAAATATGTACAGTCCAAGCCAACCCTACCTAGTAGTCCTTGGTGGAAAAGAACTCATTACAACTCATTTGTAAATGACCCTTAAAAGTAGAGCTGGCTGGCTGTTCCTCCAGGAGTACTTGTGAGAATTTATCATGTATTAAGATAACCGTTCCACATAAGGACCTTTGTAAAACCATCTGCAACCCACAGTTCACAGATAAGGCAGTTGAAGCACAGAGATATTCAGTGACTAGTCTTAAAGCATGAAGAGGCCAATCAAAGCAACTGAGACCTAGGCCAGCCATGAGGTGGTTCCTGATTTGAAGCTTTGAGAACCTCAGGACTGAGGCTGGAAGCATGTGGCTGGCTGTATCTAACCACAGTTTTGCAAATCTATAGCACCTACATTTTTCATAAGTGATAAAATAATAATATAAGAGGAAAAGAAAGCCATTTAGTGCCATACTTTATGTGTCCTTAGGCCATCTATTGTATGAGGTAAGTGGGTAAAAATAAGAATCAGGGTAAGCCAAGAAAGTGTCTGGAAGAGACCTTGGGGAAGCAAAGGCAACTCTTCAAATCCTCTGAGTGTGAAGTAAGGGATCTCTAGAACTGGTTTTCGTTAGTATTCTTTGTTTTTGTTTTGCATTTTCAGAGGTGAGGCTCCAAACTTACAGCTGAAAATAAGGGCTTCCAGAGTTGGTAAACAGGGGAAAACTTAGGCCAGTAAGGCCTGCTCCCTATTACATCCACCAAGATTGGCTGGCAAGACCTGAGACTTTGCCTTTGGGAAGCTCCCTCACTCCTGCTCTGGGGACTCTCCCTTGAGAACCACTTGTCTCCTTAAAGAACTAGACCAGGCACTCTTCTGAGAATACAGAGTGCTTTTGCTAAAAGTACCAACTCCTCACTTGGACCACAAGATGACTAAATGTTAAGTGGAAAGCTGAGCACCTCTGTCTTTGCTTTGCATCCGACTCCTCTATTTTTAATCACCTGCTTACTTCTGCAGAGAAGCATATTCATTGCTCAAGTTGTGTCTGAGGAGTAGCCATTGGTACCTACCCAGTATCTTTCCTCTTCAATCTTGAAGAAACAAACAACAAGAGTTGGGTATTGTCAGCCTTTTAGAACTTTCTGTGCCAGATTCTCAAATACTCTTGAAATTCTCAGGTCATTATCCTAAAAACTATAGTTACCTAAGGTTCCAGGAACAGCAAAGGCTCTCAGGACAGCCTACCTTCTGGATGAGAGCAATTACTATTACTTCCAATTTCCAGGCTGAACATTAGAGAAGCAGTGTTCACCTCTTGAGAACAAGGCTGACCCTTCAATCAGTAAGGATTTCTTCAGACCTCCATGCAGAATCAGACTGGGAAAAGGAGCACTTACAGAGACAGTACCTCCTCAACTATGCATGCTTCTTGTTCCTCAGTCATTTCTCCTGTTTAAGCTTAAGTCCCTGGTCGGTACCTGAAGACACAGTCAGACCACTGGACCCTCTTATCTGATTCTTTTCCTTGGTACTGATGAGACCCCTTCTTGTGCTTTATAACATCACTCATGGAGTTAGATGCTTACAGGGGTAAGCAAGCCTAGTCTGTTAGGGCTGCAGGCACCAGACCTTTTATCTTGAAGACATCATTTGTAACACAGGCTACAATTTTTGTCAAAAGATTCCATTTCCTGAA